ACTCTTTCTTGTCGGCTTTTTGCCACTGTCAGAAAGAGTACACTGCCAGTATTAACAGTTGATTTTTATCTGGTGTATTTATTTATTGTGTCTTCTAACCCTGTATGTGTGTCTGCCTACATGATCGAGTCATTGCTCTTACTTTGCTGTATTCATTTGTTTCTCCATATTGACTACACAGTTTGTGAACAAAGATAAATTTCATGTGATTTTAAAAAATAAAATCTACAATTTAATCTGAGGAATAATTACTTAAAACAGTTTCTTTAAACAAATCTTATAATTTACAGCTCTGTTACCTGGCTGATGATTATGGCTTTTAGACTTGAACGGTGCAAATTTTAGCAGCATCTGCTATTTGAGTTCATGTTGGTGTTTAGGTTTTTTCTTTGATAACGGTAGTTATATTATTTTCTTTCCTTTTTTTAATTTTTAAAGTTCAAGTGCCTTTATGTCACACAAATGCTTCAAAGCCAAAGCTTCCATTTTAAAAAAAGAACACAAATTGGTGCCTAGGATGAACTTACTCTATAGAAGTCCTTTACTCCTTTGTAGATTTTCCAAATAACTGACAGGGAGTTTTTCAGACTAAGTGACAGTCACATAGGGCAGTCATAAGTGCTTGGTCAGTGCGAAGGTTGAACTTCACGCAGAAGTTACCATTTTGTATCTTAATTGTAGTTGAATAAGTAACAGACGACATAAAATCTCAAAAAATAAGAAAATGAAAGTAAGAGTATTAAATGTTCATTACTTCTTGCTTTAACCTGTATTCTTACTTCACCCCCTGCCCAAATATCGAATGTTACCATGTTTCTTAGTCTTAATCAGGACTGCAGTCTGCCATCAGTTTGTTCCGGAGATCTGAGTAGGATCACCAGGACTGCTCAGAGTTTAGTGATGGCTGGTGTGGAGCAGGTCATGGTTGAGAGCATATCTAGAGGCTGTCTTCCCAATAAAGAAACTTGCCTGAATTTAGTTTGTAATAGTTTTGATTATATTTCTTGTTTTTCTGACTGCTTGAGCCCCAGCCAGTGTCTTCCCTGGAGGTACTAATAATTGCCTTTATAATGAATTCAAATCTCTTTCTCTTCAGTTTTGTAGCTTTGATCTTGGTTATACTGCCTCTTACATGCTGTATTACCTGAAATTAAAATTGCATTTTGTGGATGAATCTGAAATACTACAAAAACTACATGCATGCCCTTCTGAATGGCTTTTTATATGCAAATTTTATAGGCAATAATGTAAGGAAACAGCTGAAATCCCATGAAATCAATAGTTCTATTCTGTGATGTTTCTTAGGCAGTATGTCATTATGGTCAGAAATACCTCTGAAGTGATGTAATGGTTTTAGTTTTTATACTTTTCAGAAAAATGGTGAATTTATGCACATAAATGAAATTTTAAAATAATTTTTCATATAATTTAGTGTTACTTTATAAGCAAAAATCATAGGTAAGCCCAGTGGGACTTAGCGGCTTCCAGCAAATCATCAAAGATTTTTGTCCGCAGCTATTATTTCTATTGTGTATTATGTTTCAAACCATGTTAGATTTGATGTACTGTGTTAAGGAGATGTGAACTTCCTTACATTCTCTGCTCTACATCTCAGACTTAGAACTGGATCTAAACCTTCCTAAGGTCAAGAGAATTTTTCTTCAAGTAACTTTAGCTGTGTTCTAAAGTGCTTATAAAATGGTATTCATCTGCAATCTTTTGAAGGGCTAGATCAGGTGTGTATCATTTGGCTGAGACTATTATATAAAATTGCATTACTTTTCAAATTTAATAATACACTTATGTATCTTTTTCAGGGTGTTGAGGAATGGAATATTGCCCATCTTAATACAATATTGGATGTTGTAGGAGAAGACTCTGGAATTTGTATTGAGGGTGTAAATACGCCATATCTGTATTTTGGCATGTGGAAAACAACATTTCCATGGCACACTGAAGACATGGATCTCTACAGTATTAATTATCTCCATTTCGGGGAGCCAAAATCATGGCAAGTTTACATTTTTGTCAAAGATATTTTCATTTATCTGTTTGTTTCAGCTGAGCATACCAAACAGATGTGGTACAATTGCTTTGCTGTGATAAGCTTTACTGAAAAGTTAAGACAGTAGTTTTGGGCTTTTTTTAAGTTGAAGGAGGTGCGAGTTGATAATATGATAGATATTTTTCTAGTTTACAGCTACTTGTTTACACTTCCGAATTAACAAAGTCATTAAACACTGACCTCTTCATCTTTTGAAGAAATAGCAATGGATTTGACTTTATTTTCTGGACCACATTGCCCCTTTTGGTTAAGAAATGCAGTCCATAAAAAAAGTGAAATGATAGACAGTTAAAAATTTATTTTTTGTTACACATGTGCTTTTACTGGAAGAATGCTGCAATAATTTATGTTATTGCTGTTCCTATATCAGTAAAACATATCTTGTATTAATATGATATTAATATTTTCTTCGAAATGTGGAGGATGAGTTTTATCTTAGGATAAAAATAGTAAAGATCTTGTCTGCTCTTAAAGAATTGGAACTGAGTTGACAAGTGCTTCCATAGTGAAACTGTATTACAGTAGTAATACGTGGTTTTTATTTTACTTGGTATAAATGTTCCTCAAGACAGACATATTGGTCTTACGGAGAACTGAAAAATACTTTATTAAGCAGCATGGTGGGCAGCGTGTTTTCTCTGAACAGTGAGAAGACTGTAACTTCCATGTGAGAGCCCCAGTGAGAACTTGTAAGCAGCAGCTAAATTTGACTGCTGTGGCAATCGTTACAGAATTTGAAACGTTCTCCAGTGTTGAGGCATAGACTAACTTTCATTTTTTCTTACACTCTGTGCAGCTTCAGTTCCAAGAAGTATGCAAAGAAGTTTATAGTTTTATGTTATGTACACTGATTCCTCCATTGACTGCCTTGTATGAAACACGGGAAAAGTGTGTCTGATAACCATTTGCAAAATCAGGAGTATGGCTGTTTGTGTGTTTATGTATATATTTGTGTAATGCATATGTTTGCTTTATAGATTTTTTTTTTTGCTTGCGAAAAAGTGCTAAAGAGATAAATAATTTGAAGGAGAAAAGGAATTAATAAAACTTAGAAGCTGTGAAACAAAACAGCGTGAGGGGAGAAGAGAGGGAGATATGGGTGAGGAAAGATTTGCTGGGAAGGTGGAGTATATTAAAATTGCATACTGTCAGGAAGAATTTTTACTGTAACTTTTCCTTTGCATTTTTTTCTGAGGGGAAATTGATCTTGGAGATGGTACCTTATTCCCCATAACAGTTTCTTAGGAAAAAAAAAAAAAGTGTAATTCCCAAGAAGAACCATTGGTTAGACTGATGATTCTCTTGATTTATTAATTCTGTTTATTCTTGATATGTTTCAGAGTGATATCTGTGAACTGCTTATTGGATTAAAAATTTCTTCACTCTCTGATTTCTTGTTAAATATTTTCTTCTATTATAATTATTATTTCAGAGGTATAAGCCCTGACTAAAGAGAATTTATTTTTCTTTTATGTAATGATTTGAGGAATTTTGTCATGCTGTTGAGTACTGAACTGCTCTTGGAAATTAATTCCTATCATAAACCAGATTTTTGTTATAGTGCAAATGTTAGTCTATTAGTATGAGTATTAGATCCGTGGGTAAAATATGGAGAATACTTGAACTTGCATTATGAATTTATAAATATAAAAAAAAGTCTGAATAAGATACGTTTTGGAAAATAATTCTGGGTTTCAAATATCTATTATTAAGTATCTGAAAGCAATTCTAACTCTTGTGCTATTTACCTGACTCATGAAAAACAGTGATATTGATAGGAATTCTTTGAAGTGTTAAGACAATATTTTAGTATTATGATCTAATTGTCATCACAGAGACGTGGTGGAATGACTCTGATGACTGGAGTGTCAGAATGGAAGGGTACAGGCTCCTTAGGAAGGACAGGCAGGGGAGACGTGGAGGGGAGGTTGCTCTCTATGTCAGAGACCAGCTGGAGTGTGTGGAACTCCACCTGGGGATGGATGAGGAGCTGACTGAGAGTTTATGGGTCAGGATTAAGGGGAGGGCAGGGAGAGGGGATACTGTAGTGGGATTTTGTCACAGACCACCTGGCCAGGATGAGCGAGTGGATGAGTCTCTCTACAGGCAAATAGGAGCAGCCTCACAGTCACAAACCCTGGTCCTCACCCCTGGTCCTCATGGGCGACTTCACCCACCCCGATATGTGTTGGAGGGACACCATGGGAAGGCACAAAGCAAGCCAGGACGTTCCTGGAAGGCATTGCTGACAACTTCCCTCTCTCAGGTGATAGAGGAGCTGATGAGGAGAGGTGTCATGCTGGACCTTGTTCTCACCAACTGGGCTGGTGAGGAATGTGAAGCTCAAGGGCAGCCTTGGCTGCAGCGACCATGAAATGCTGGCATTTGAGATCCTTCAGGAGGGGAGGATGAGCCTGTCACTACATGAAGGACTTAGAGATGCTGGACCGAATCCAGAAAAGGGCAGCAAAGCTGGTGAAGGGTCTGGAGAACAAGTCTTATGAGGAGTGGCTGAGGGAGTTGGGGTTGTTTAGTCTGAAGAAAAGGAGACTGAGGGGACACCTGATCACACTCTACGGCTACCTGAAAGGAGGCTGTAGTGGGGTGGGTATTGGTCTGTTCTCC